AGAGAGAGAGAGAGAGAGAGAGAGAGAGAGAGAGAGAGAGGGCTTCAAGGTACCCCACAAGAAGGAATTCCCAAGTGCACCTTCCTGAATTCTCAAAGGGGTTTTGCACTTTGGTGGTGGCAGCATCTACCCATCCAAGGTCAGAGAAAAGCTGTAACCTTGGGAGTTTAATACAAGCCTGGAGTGGTGAGTAATAATTTTTAGAGTCCTTGTGGGCCCCACCTTTGGCACTTGAAGTGCCAGAGTGGGGAATCAGCCTTGACATAACTGAAGTCTGTATTTGAACCCAAGTCATTCTTTCATCTCAAAATGCTAAACCTTCAAGAAAACATATTGAGTCCATGCATTTATCAAGACTTAGTAAAGTCTTGACTCCACTCAATTAAAAAAAAAATCCTTAAAGTTCCTTAAAACTTCTCAAAACATTTCAGACTCATTTGCAGTTGCTGTGTTAGGAACACAAGCTCTCCTACATGGGTTTTTCCCACATACTGGATAGGAACACCCTCTGGATAGGAACTTCCACTTGGACACCCTCCTAGCTGATGTGATGGCGACCAGGAATGCCACCTTCCACGACAAATACAGAAGGGAGCAAGTCACCAACGGTTTGAAAGAGGGCCCCATTAGTCTGGAGAGGACCAGATTAAGGTCCCATGCAGGCACAGGCTATCAAGTCTGTGGATATAACCTTTCCAAGCCCTTGAGGAAACACCTTACCATGGCATTGGCGAACATGGAACGCCCCAATTCTCCCGGGTGGAAGGCTGAGATAGCAGCAAGGTGTACCCAGATGGATGACCCTGCCAGGCCCTGTTTCAGGTGTAGGAGGTACTCCAGGACGAGTGGTATAGGCTCCTGGAGCGGAGGTGTGCGATGCTGGGCACACCAGCAAGTGAACCTCTTCTACATAGCTAAATAAGTGGCCCTGGTGGATGGTTTTCTGCTTCTGATCAGAAAAAATGATTACTCACTTCTCGTAACTGTTGTTCTTAGAGATGTTTTGTTCATGTCCATTCCAATCAGGTGTGTGCGTGCGCACGTGCATGGAGGCCGCAAGATTTTTCCCACCGCAGCATCCATTGGGCCGGTCTGGGCGTCCCATGGAGTCGCGCCTTCATGGCACTCAATATAGAGACCTGCCGACCCGCCACCCCCTTCAGTTCCTTCTTGCCGGCTACTCCAAGAGAGGGGTAGAAGGGTGGATATTGGAATGGACATGAACAACACATCTCGAAGAACAGTTACAAGAAGTGAGTAACTGGTTTTTTTTCTTCGAGTACTTGCTTATGTCCATTCCAATCAGGTGACTC